GGAGGCCTATCAGACAGGTTATGTCCAGGTCATCACTGCTCACATGCCCAATCCTATCACTTCCCTTCACTTACCCAAATCCATGCCAGGCCACGTGGGGTGTCCAGATCCATGAAGTATTCCCTGACTAGTTTTCTCCCTTCAATGATCTTTATCTTTTTTTTCTTCCTAAGGTGCTCTGATGACTCTAACTAGACCATATGCTAATAAGACCGCATCCTCTAATTATTTTCTTTTCCTAGGAATACTTTCAAATGACCAGCTTCTCTTCAGCTTTCAGTTCTCAGTGGAATGTCACTCCTTGGTGAGGCCTTCCTCAAATACTCAATAAATTGTCCTCTCTTGTTACCCTCTCTGATCAGTCACAACACCCATTTTAATCTTTTCATAAGACTCATCAAGATTTGAAATTTTCTTGTCTGTTTACTTGTTTAGTATCTGCCCACCCCCAGAGAGGGAGACCATGTTGACACTGTTTACCTTCATGATAGCCCCAGCACCTAAAATGACAACTGTGATACAGCAGTTATTAGTAAATATTTGTTGAGTGAATAATGGAAGAATCACAGTGCAGGGTACACAAAAGATGTTCAAGAAAATGCTTATTGGATGAATCAGAGATCTGTCACCCAAGCAGTAATCTCAGTAATCTCACCTGTCCCTCTAGCTCTCAGCATCTTATTTTTCATTACTTTTGAAAACTACCTCTTTGCCTGTGTGTTTCCTCTTCCTGCTGTGTACTCACAGCCACTCACATCACAGCTAATTTTGAAAGGAGTTCAGACATGTGAGTTACCATTAGCTCTTGGTGGGAACGTCATCTGTCCACAGTGCTTGCAGATTATACACAATAATAAAAGTGATATTGGTGTGGATGTTTAGGATATGCTTTGGGAACATAGGCAAATTTAGCTGTGGGTCTCTTCTTGGCTGTTTCATTGATGGAGCCTTCCCCGCAAAGCCCTTACCAAGTCAGCTTTGATCTGCTTTCAGACCTGCCAACACACTCTAGTTTCTCATCTCAGACCTTGATTATTTTGTGAGGCACAGAATCCAGCTTTTATAGTGTAGATGAAAAATGGTAGAAAATTAAGGCTATTGGGGAAAATTGAATGCACATAAAGGAACCCACTTATTAGAGACAACAAGCCCTGGTAGGTGTCCAATTGAGAATGTGGTTATTTGTAATATTATAAATGAATTGGGCTGAAGACAGAGATGGAGGCTGTCATTACCACATGCCATTGATCTGGGATAGAGGGAGAAGATCTGTCTGACATGTTCTAAGGAAGGCTTTTTAGATTTTGCATCATTTCTTTTCCTCGCACCCTGTTGTAGAAGCATTTGGGCTTGAACTTCTTTGATGCTTCTCAGAAACACAAGAAATGGGCTTGATCATGACCTTGACACTAACATGAGTTTATCCTCGGTTTCAACATTGAAGTTCTTGAAAGTGAGACTGAGTTCCATCTCTTCAGAGGTTCATTTGTGGAACTCTCGGGATTAGAGGCAGAAGCAAGCACCTGTCCCTCTAGCCCTAAAGATTTCCATAGGGACGGGCTAGAAACACAAACCATGTAACCTCTTACTATGAGAAACTCCAGGGCCAAGTGCTACCCAGCTTGGAAATGCCATCTTGGGGCTTTGAAGTTCTATTGCTCCACATAGGCTTTGCTTGGTGTTTTCTTTTATTGTTCACTGTGTTCCAAAAGAAATCTAATGAGGCTTTAACCCACTGTTTCATTTCATGTTTTCTATCTTATCAGGCTCTTTTGTCCTTTATATGAGCCATGAAAAAACTGTGAGGCTATCAAGGTACATTGTGGTGGGGATGCAGATAAAATATAGAATGACCAGTTAACTCTGAATTTCAGATATACTCTAAATACTTCGTTTTTTTAGTGAAAGTGTACCCCATGCAATATTTCTATTTCTAGTTGTATGCTTAGTTTGTTTTCTTGTGTCATACTGTTTTGGGTTTTTTTGTTTGTTTGTTTTTTGTCATTTTGTTTTTATTGGCAGTTGTATGACGAGGGTGAAGAAGGAATAAAGAGAAGGAATGAGAGATGATTTTGTGTCTTGCTTTCAATCTGGGGATGACAGTTTCTTTCCTCTTGTGTAGAGATGTCCTTTCTGTGAAATCCTCAAACTTCCAGTCTGAAGAATGTCTTCTTGGTAGTGTTTTTGCAAATTTCAATTTCTAATTTGGCTATAGAGTGACATGAGTTTGAAATCTGGGTTCTTGAGCAAACTGAAATTAAAGAGCCCTGGTTAATTGCAAAATGAGCAAAGGAGCAATTGAGAAAGTATTTTCACCCTGCCACAGAGAAGGCTTTCTGGAGTGGCATTAGGCCTATGTCATGAGGATAAGGATAATTCAATAACCACAGCTGATCCTGTAACCCTACTTCAGAGATGTCAAGTGCAGATACAGTCCCCTGTAGATCCTGGAGAATAGGAATGGTACAGGAGAATAAGGGGTCAAGGCTGGGAGATGTTAGGACTAATAAGTTGATAGCTGAGTTTAATGAGTGTTTGCCATGTGCTAAGCACTAGCTTATACCAACCAAATTCCTTTAATCCTCACAACAATGCTGTGTGGCAGGTATTAGTGTCACTATCCCCATTACAGATAGGGAAACTGAGGCAGACAATATTAAGTAATTTAGTTACTTAACTAAGTTAAGTAATTGATTAGTAGAACAAACTGTTTTCAGAAACCACTGCACTAAATTACCTGTCTACCCAGCCTGAACAGGAGACTATGCAGACAGCAAGGTGTATGCAGAAGTAGGAGTTGCTGAGCTGTTGGTATAAGCAGACTGCAGTCTCCCACTCACACCCCCACCCCAGGCACACTCCAGAAGTCCAAGAGGCCCCTGGGTGGGCCCTGGCAGCCCTCTGTCTTCCCCTGAGCACAGGCAGGCGAGTCAGGCTAGGTTGGTGAAATGATCAGGGAAGTAAATGAGTTGTGAATAAATTATGAAACTGAATAAATTATATAAGGATTCTTTTTAAGAAAGAGCAAATGAAAGGTTACAGGTCAGAATTTAATCCAACTAAACTAAGCTAATCTTTCTCCTGTTCTCTTTTTTCCCAAGGCCTTCATTACTCTCCCTGCTACATGTTCAGAATGCTGTGCTGAGCTGAGATCTGGAGGCACTAGTGAATTATTATGATTAGGTAGCCTTAGCCCTTCAGCCCTCAGCAGGGTGACAGTGGTGTCCCACCATCTCAGAAATCATCCAAATTGAAATGCCCAGTGAAATCAGAAGGAAAATAATTCCAGAAGGGCCAAGAGTATGATTGTTCCTTTAAAAACAACTCTACATAACTTGAAACCCCTTGGGAATATATATTGTTACTGTATTGCAGACAGGATAAAGGACTCCACTGGAAACAGATGTGATCTGTTTGATTTCCTCTGATATTATGAGCTGAAAACAGAGAAAATTACTGAATGTGGTAATACTCAGGTTAAATGGAATAGTTAAAAGTGCCAAAGAGCTCAGTTTGGAAGGAAGCCTTTGAATAATAAACCATAAATTTTGTTGCAATCATCAATGCAAGAAAAAACTAGCTATGTCCCAAGGCCCTTTGCCTAGAAAAGGATTCTTTTCTTCTCCAAATCCCTCAAATGAGTTTTAAATGTGCAAATGATGGCTATAATTTACACAGAAACTTGAAACTATTAATGGCTTAATCCACCTAAAATCCTAATGAAGTTCTGCAATTATTATTCCTGTTTATAGAGCCCAACAAACAGAGGATAGGAATTGCCACCCATGGCCCCTGGCAGCCAGCTGTGTAATGAAATGAGGCCGCAGGTCCAATCACTGTAGGAAATACCAGATTACTGTTGGGATTCAAGAGATCTGGAAGTTCAGAGCCAAAGGCTTTAGAAAACAACAAATAGACCTACTTATTTCTCCCTTGCAGTGATTTCTCTAAAAGGAAACAATCCAATGTGAGATTTAAAACTTTCCCTTTATTGTGGTTCATTTTCTAATATTCCAAATCTGAGCAAGAAGAGACAGGGGGAAGGAGATGGGCTCTGAACACTCTGATCATAATCCATATTCACTATTTGCTTGACTAGGGTGACAGAGGCCACCTTTCAAACAGGCAGGTGCAGGGCTGCCTTTTAGGAAACATTTCTCCTCCATCCCCTCCCACCTCCCACCGCCTCTATCCCCACCTCATAGATCATTGTCCACATTTGTGTCACTGAACCTGCAAATGGTGTATCTTTATTGTTCCTTTCGGAAAGTATATGCTCTAGGTTTAAACACACGTGCATTCTGTGTATGTGGAGAACAGTCTTGTAACTGGAGCTGTGGGCAGCGGAGCCCTCCCGTGTGGGTTTTGTGGACCCCTAAACAGCAAAACTCAGAATACACAACACCCACAAACCACCACCACCAAAATATTTCTGTCTGGATCCAAAATTTCAAACAGACTTGCTTCATCTGCTCTTCTGTTCCTTTCTTCCTGGATCCTGGCTGGCTCATTTCAATAGACAATTGAAATCCTTCTTACTTTCCCAATACTCCTTGGGGAAATTCCACTTTGAATTTCTCTTTTCCCTGTCATTTTTACCTTACAGTTGAGAGGACAGGGATGAGCTAGGAAAACAGGATCTCTCTCCCCCTCTTCCCTTCGCTCTTTTTTAAAATGACGTAGGGAGTTTGGACATCCTCCCTCCCCCCACCTCCCCTCTTTGATTCTAACCCTGATTCCTGGAGAATTACAGTTTTCCTTTCAGTGCTCGCCGGTTCCCGCACGGGGAGGTGTTGGCGGCGCTGCCCAAGGAGAGCCCGGGCGCTGCCGAGCCCCCGCCGCCCGCGTCCGGGACACGCCTGGCGCGATCGGGCCGGTCACAAAGCCCAGCGCGGCCGGAGCGCGGAAACAGGGTCGGAGGCTTCCTCGGTCCCGCGGTGCGCCCCTCGGCGCGGGCGGCTCCACTGCGCGCGGCCCGAGTTCGCTGGGGGACAACTTACTGTGCTCGCCGGGCGTCCACACCGCAAACTCCCCGGGGGAGGGGGAACAGCCTAGCAGCGTCGTGTCGAAGAGTAGAGCCACAAAGGAGACGCGAGAAGAGGGCAGGGAGGGAGGACGCGGGGGCACCGGGCCCTCGCTCCCCCGGGGCGCCCCTGGGGCGCGGATGGGGAGACCCTCCCGGCGAGGCGGGCCTTCCCCCAGGCCCTGCCCGGCCCGCGGCTCAGACAGGTAGTTGCGAGAAGAACGGAGGAGGCTGCCGGCGGCGGAGGCAGCAGGCGGGCGGCGGCCCCGGGCGCCCCCGGGAGGAAGGGCCGAGGCCGCAGCGCCCCGCGCCCTGCCCTCCGCGCCCGCGCCCCCCGTCGGCCCGGCGGCCGAGCGCCCCGCGCTGGCTGCCGCCTCCGCCTCCCCTCGCGCCTCCCCTGCTCGGGGCAGCGGCGCTTCCGAAGGGACGGGCGGCCGCGGGGACGCAGCGGGGGACGCGGCGCAGGCCGGCGGGGGGCGCCGCGAGGGGGAGGGGCGAGGGCGCCCCGAGTCGCCGCGCCGGCCGGGCACCGACTGCCTTCCTGCAGCGATTTCCCTGTGTCATGGCTCCGGTCTCTTAGCAACAGCCGCGGGTCCGGCCGCCCCGAGCCGCCGCCGCGGGCTCAACTCCACCCGGCGGAGCCCCGCGCGCCGCAGCCACACAAAAGCGGCGCGAGGGCCGGCGCCGCGCCCGCAGGGCCCGCCCGGGAGCGCCGCGGGAGGCGCGCCGGCGGGGAGAAGGCTCGCGGGCGGGATGCAGGATGCGGAGGACCTGACACTTCTCGGAAACTCTTGGAAATGGCTCCCGCCACAGCGCCGGAGGGGGCTGCGAGCCCGGGGCGGGCGCTCGCCCCCGCTGGGCTGCTGAGCCGCGCTCCGATGGAGGGCCCCGAGGCGCCGTCCCTGCGCTCCGCCGTCGGCTCGGGCTGAAAAAGTTTCTCCATGGTTCCTTTGTGTGGCCCGAGCGCCCGCCCGCCGGCCCCGAGCTGCCCCGCTCTCCCCGGGTAAGTGCGCGATATTGTTTGCTTATAGCGCTGCCATCTTGAGCGGTGCCGCGTGCCGGCCGCGCCGCCCTCCCCGCGCTGCGTCCCCAGCCCCGCGCCCTCCCGGGCTGGTGTCGGGAGAGGCTCTCGCGGGCCGGCGGCCCGGGGTGAGCTGCCCGAAAAAGCGAGTTCAGGATTGCCCTCACTTCGCTCCTGCCTGTCTTCGTTTCCGAGGCGGACTCCCAGCTGCTGCACTCATGTGACTCCAGCATAAATGAGCAGACCCAGACGAAGGGCTAGGGGACCGCTGCCCGCCACTGAGGGCCGGGTCGGGACCTGGCCCGGGGCAGGGCGCAGCGTAGCGCTCCCAGCCTGTGGGCTCTGAGCCTCAGACGGCGAGTGGGGCTTCATCCATCATGAGCGGAGAACTTGAATGTCTCTCTTGGAAGCAGTTGTATTTTTAGACATGCCTCCTTGGTTTCCCCCATCCTCCATTCCCGAGCCACGGGTAAGACCAGCACCAGGCAGTGAATTGCTAGGGCAGCCAACCTCGACTGCTAAGTTTGTTTTCTCTCATTGGGTACAAAGGACAGCCTCAAACGTGGGTCTTCTGTGGCATCTGACCTTTGTTAGTATTTCATGTCAGATGGCATACATGAAAAGCTTTGGATGGAGTTGAAAGAATAATAAACTAGGGAGTTAATTACTAGCTATTAAACCGATTTTAAAGATCTTATGTAAACAATTGTTGAAATCCATTCCAACCTTCTTTACACTCTACCGGAGCCAAAGCTGCTTTGCCAAGGAGAAATCCAAGAGGGTGCCTTCCTCCCCCCAAGACATCCAGCACCTTGGTGCCCCTGACCAATGGCCAAGAAAATGCTAGCCCTTCTCTCCTGGGAGAACCACCCTGCCAACTGAGTATGGATTTTCTTCTAAAATGTCTGGTCCTTAAAGCCTTCTTAAGATAACCACAGGTCTCCAGATTACTTAGGATGCTGGAGTCCAGGGATCACCTAAAATAACAGTCTCTATGTTACATCTACATAATAAATGTGTTTATTTTGGGGGGCTATGGATGGATAGTAAGCTTTAAAAAAATAATCTGTACTTAGTGGTGCAGCTCCTTCTTATAAAAAAATTTAAAAGGTTTATAGATGTAGTCTATACTGACCCCTCTCTGACCTACCTAGTGTTTCTCTTTACTGAAACCTAAGTTCCAAAGAGATATTGATTTGCAAACATAGTAAAGAGCTTATTACCATTTGCATTCCCACTGATGGAGAAAAGATCCTGCCTTATTCGATGTAATGGAAGGAAGCAGCTTTTTGCCCAAGCACCAATTAAAAGCAAAATTCTACCTAAGTTGTCTCACATTTTCAAAGGGTAATTTATTCTAAAATATGAATTATCTTATAAAGGAAAAAAATACCAAAAGGCTTGTGAGTTGTATCTAAGTCTTTCAGTTCATACAATGCCCTTAATTTCAGCATCTCTGTTATAGGAGGGCACACAACCAATGGAACAGAAAATGTTTTACTCCAGGGATACAGCAGGACTGAAATTTGTAGAAGCTGCTGGATAACCACAAATACGCAGCTGTGAATCTACCTACCCAGGCTTTATTACAAACAACTAAATAAACTTCCTAAGGATAGTCTATTGACTATTTCTACCTTCCCTTCCTAAAAATGACCTCATGAGAAAAGGATGAAGAAAAGAGCTTTGGTTCTGAGAAATGTCATTCTACAAATCATCATTATTATGTAGAGGGCTTTACCTAGTTAATTGCCTACTCATTTGAATACTGGGATTCTGTAGAGTGCTCTTGGCACATTAATAAGGGGTCAGAAAGCTATTATGGCAGAGTGTTGTTTTTTTTAAGATTGTAATTTTCCCACATGAAAAAAAGATCTTTCTCTTGGAGAATCCAGGAGACTTCTCAAATTCCCTGATGAAATCTAGCACAGGATACCTTTAAGGGAGTTCCTCCAAGGGAGGAGAGAAGGCCAGAAGGAAGAGCTGTTACATAACCAGTTACCTAAAACTAAATATTCCACCCCAAGAAGCTGTCCAGATGTTGCTGAGTGGAGATGCAGAGAAGGCTGTGAGAGGGATCTGCTTGCTTTCAGCTGTAGGGACAAGGATAGGTGGGGGACAGTTTTGTCAAGGGATTTATTGTCAGAGTATTGCAATATCTCTAATGTTTTCCCAAAAAGGAACTTTCTATTAATTATCTGAAGTAAATAAACCATCTGCCTACCAATATTCTGACCTTTAATTTTCATCCAGTGAAATGAATTCCTTTGTCTTTATACAATAGTAACTTTCCTGACTGTTCTAGAGACTTTGGGCATTGACAGATTCCTCAGCTTAGAGTCCTGAAACGCCTGTGGCAGCTCCCTTGAGGAATCTGATTCCAGCAGGACTAAGGGGAAGGCTCTTGCCAGGAAAGTCCTCAACCACTACTTTTGGAGTCCTCGACCCCACATGTAGTTTTTAATTAATGATTAGAACTCCATTGACCGCCAAGCAGGAGGGTTGGAAATGAACAGTGCTGGGAGTGTGTGGAGGGATGGGCTGGGGAGGGGGGAGAAGAGATTCTCTCAGTTTGTTTTTTCACCCACCACCTGTCAGTTATTGCAACAACGTTTCCCTTCCCTAATATCTACCCCAGCCCAGCCTTGGGCTAGTGGGCAAAGGCCCTGGGGTGGGGGCACACACGGAGGGGGCTCACATGGAGGGGGATGGGGAGCAGGGCAATTGCGGCGCCTGGGATGCTGCTGCAGCCCAGCCCACACCCTCTGACTGTCTTCCTCTGCTTTGCAGCAGGAAGAGGTGGCGGAGCAGCTAGTGGGCAGTTGGCGCCCCCCCTGCACAGGCCTCCACCCCAGAGGCTAGTCCCGCGCTCCACGAGTTCGCCATGATCGCCACCGGTGGCCTGCTGAGGATTTCCGCCAGAAAGCAGGATCCTCTCCGCCCCCCCAGCCAGATCCCCAAGCGCAAGCGGAAAGCTAAGAAGAGGCGCAAGAACGACGTGGTGGTGGTGAAGGGCAAGCTGAAGCTGTGCTCCATCTCGGGGCTCATCGCCCTTTGCGGGATCCTGGTGCTGCTGGTGGGCATAGCCATGGCGGTGGTGGGCTACTGGCCCAAGGCCAACGGGGCCAGTAAGGAGGGGGGCAAGCAGCTGCCGCCCGCGGGCAGCGGCCAGCGCGTCCCAAACACGGCCAGTAGCGGCAACAGCGGCAGCAAAAACCGGTCCAGGAGCCACTCGGGGACTGCGGCCGGGGTCAACTCCAGTTCCGCGGGCTCGCCCAGGGGCACGCCCGCGGCGCGGCCGGCCGCCCCGTCCTCCTCCCCCGCGTCGGTGGGTTTCTTCTTCCGCGTCTTCTCCGGCTACCTGCACTCTGACAAGCTCAAGGTCTTTGGGCCCCTCATCATGGGCATCGGCATCTTCCTCTTCATCTGCGCCAACGCGGTGCTCCACGAGAACCGGGACAAGAAGACCAAGATCATCAACCTGCGCGACCTCTACTCCACCGTCATCGACGTGCACAGCCTCCGCGCCAAGGACCTGGCGGCCGCCGCAGCCGCGGCCGCGGCCGCAGCCACCTCCTCGTCGGCCTCGGGCCCCTCCGGGGCCACGCCGCTGAACGGCTTCCTCAGCTACGTGCAGTCGCGGGGCCTGGAGCTGCAGCCCGGGAGCTGCTGCGGCGCTGGGGACGCCTTCGGAGCGGCGGCGCTGCTGGCCAAGGGCTCGTGGCCCCACCCTGCGGCGCTGGCCGGCGGCGGGGCGAGGGGCGCCTCGTCCCCGCCCGACCTGGCCTCGTCCCCGCGCTGCCCGCGGGAGCCCCCGAGCCTGGTCGAGGCCGTGTACAGCATCTATCGCGAGCGCTCGGGTGGGGCCGGCCGTCGCCGGGCCGCGGCTGCTGCCGCCGTGGCCGCCACCGCCACCGCCACCGCGGCCGCCAGCGGTAGCAGCAGCCCGGCGCCCTGCAGCCCACCCGAGAGCTGGGGGCGCCAGAGCACCGCCAGCTCCCTCGTGGGCTCCTCGCTGAGCGCCTTCGCGCTGCTGCCCCTGCAAGGGGACCGCGACCGGGACGGGGACGCAGAGGGCGCGAGCTGCAGCTGGCAGAGGCCTCCCGGGGAGCGCGGCTCCCGGGAGATCCCGCGGGGCGAGCTGGACCTGAGCCTGACCAGCCTCCGCGGCGCGGAGGGCGGCGCGCGCTGGGCGCACGGCGAGCCGGAGGAGGCCGAGGGCGCGGTGGCGGCGCGCACCGCCAGGGGGCAGGGCGGCT